TGCAAATATATAGACACATATATACTTGCATGCATACATACATACACACACACAAACACACACACGCACACATACATACACATATATTCATATATATATATATATATAGGTATGTCTGCATCGGTTTCCATAGCAACAGCCAGAATAAATAGAATAACATATCTTCGGTACTTAGTGTGATTATCGACACGCGCGTACGACAGAAAATGAGATACGACTTGAAGACAATATCTCCTATAATGGCATATGTATACACTTAGTATAATATCATGGTGTCTGTCTACTAGAATAATAGCACTGGAGAATTACACCTTCTACCATGGCATATGTACACACTTGGATACACTTAGTATGTTATCATGGGGTCTGTCTTAGATTGATAGTACTGGAAAATTACATCTTCTACCATGGCATATGTACACACTTGGATACACTTAGTATGTTATTATGGTGTCTGTCTTAGATTGATAGTACTGGAGAATTACATCTTCTACCATGTTATATGTATACACTTAGATACACGTAGTATGTAACCATGGTGTCTGTCTAATATACACACGTAGATATACGAAGTATGTAACCATGGTGTCCGTCTGCTGTCGATGCCTTGTGGCATACCAAGCCGTACTAACTCTACCCTTAAACCCTACCCTTCCATAGAGAACGACGCTCTCCTCTTCGGAGAAATGCTGTAAACCAAGTTCGCACATCTCTAATAAAAACCCTCCACGAGCAAACTCGCTTTTAAACAAACGTTCAAAATGGGACCGTCTTACCTTAAATGTACCGTTCACGCGTAACTGTGACGCCCTTGCAGCGACTTCCCACATATTGGTAGTGGCGGATACCGAACTTCCAGGCAATGATACACTCTGCAGGCCAAGAGGATGTAGTAAGGTGTAGCAATGAGTGGTTGATGTACGGAGACTGCGGCTCTATACCGTGTGATGAATACGCGACACGCTCAAAAGATTCCATACCGATGTCGCAAGTCACAACCCAACTTCTCGGCTATTGGAAGATAGTTGCCAGCACCACACCTAAGTAAGTGTCGAATGGGTATACCATTGGGTATGTCCATATCATTCGGTGCTTTGGAGACAACTGTATATATACATATACATATACATATATCTACACACCTTCTGCACGAGGTCAAGGTACATTGCCTTGCCCAATCGGAGCAGCAGAGCTACGTCAGAGGCAGCATACTCCAACATTTGCGCATCAAGTGGACGTCTGGGTGTTACAAGAGAAGTGGGGGGGGGACCGTATATGGATGTTGTGAGGTATATTCATGTATAGATCAACTGTAATACGAAGGTAGAATGAACTGGCTGGCGTACTCAGTTACAGACACATACACAGACACAGAAACAGAAACAGAAAGAGACAGAGACAGAGACACACACACATATATATATGCATACACGCACACACACACTTATATATACATATACAGATACATATGTACCTATGTACATAGAAATATATATATATATA